GCTCGGCGTTGAAGTCTTCTTCGCGCACCTTTCGCCAGGCCATGGCCTTGAGCACGTCGCTGATCGAGGTCTGGAAGACGTCGAGCTCCTCCTGCAGCGCCACGTACTTGGCGCGGACGAGGTCGCTCTTGCGGTGGAGCTCGGCCTGCGCGACCGCGAGGTTCGTCCGGCGCTCGCCCGGCGACTCGCGCAGCAGGTAGCTCGGGACGAGCTGTCCGGCGATGCCCAAGAGCAGGCAGAGTCCGATGATCTTCCACGCCCATCGATGCTTGTCGTCCAGGAGTGCATGCAGCGCCATGGTCGCGGTCATGCTCTCTTCCGACCACGGCCGCTGTATATTGAGCGCAATATATTATTGGCGTCCGGAAACATCAATATTCAAACGGACCAATCCGCGATGGGCAGTTCAAAACGCACCAGTCTTGTCTATGGTATCGCAAGTCGGCGCTCCCAGGCACAAAATATATGCATTAATACCTCGGTATTTGTATTTTAACTTGATATTGATATGCCTGGAATATGCATATTCAGGCGTACCTCGCGATGTAGCAATCTTCCAGCATCGGCGCGGATGGCAGCAAGAGCGCGGGCCTTCAAGGTGGCGTTCAAGTGCACCGGCTGCGGGCGCTGCTGCACCGGCCAAGGTGGCATCGCCTGGGTCAATGGCCGCGAGATCGCAGCTATGGCCGAGCACCTTGCTCTGCCCAAAGCCACGTTCGCCAAGCAGTACTTACGCACGGTAAATGGCGCGACGGCCTTGCGCCAGACGGACGACGACCGCCAGTGCATCTTCCTCGACGGCAAGCAGTGCAGCGTGTACCCGGCTCGGCCGACGCAGTGTCGGACGTACCCGTTCTGGCCGCAACAGCTCATCTCCAAGTACGACTGGACGCTGGCCGCCAAGGAGTGCGAAGGCATCCTTCTGGACGCACCGCCGCCCGAGACCATCACGCCCGACGCGCACATCCTCAAGGAAGTTGTGATTCATGAGGTGAGTGCCCCATGGTATCGTCGGCACGCGACGCATAGACGCGTAGGTGCACCGATCGGGCGAGGAACTGACGTACGACGACATCAACGACCTTGTCTCGGAGCTCGAGCCCGAGATGCTCGACGCCTTCCAAGAGGTATCGACGGTGGCGTATATCACTCTCTCAACACTATGTGGTAGGAGGTCGATGCCAAGTACCAGCGCTCGATCCTGCACGAAGACGACGACATTCTGGTCATGGACAGCTTCCTCGGTAGGCTCCAAGTCCCAAGAAGGCAGCTTAGCCTATCTAGATGGCCTGCCACCGACGCGGTCGCTGCATTTTGTCGACCGCCTCGAGCTCGTCCAGAGCGAAGTCTTGCTGAACGAGGTAGGTGCATCACTCGCCTAATCGCACGCCAACGACGACGCATAGGACGGCTCTATCAACGACACTGAGCTCGCCCTCGACGTGCACAAGGGGCTCTGCGTCGGCCTGACGCTGCTGCGAACAGAGCGCCTGCACAACCTCCGCATTGGCCTGCTCGGCGCGGGGCGCGGGGGGTCCTTCCGGACCTTTCTCACAAGCACTTGCGCGGCGAGGTTCACATGGACGCCGTCGACCCTTCG